AGTGATGCTGTAATCCCTGGAATGCTTTTCCCCTTGACTGAAGGGCTCCCATCCTGCCAAATCAGGGAAGGGGGAGCACTGCACGGACTGAAGTAACCCCTCCCTGCTCACCTGCTGTGGCTTGGCCCCTCCTTGCTCCAGGTTAAAGGTGATTGTGGTGTCCAACAATCTTTGCCCAGTTTCAACCAGGTAGAGGTTTATGTTGTAGGTTTGATTGGAGCAGGTTAAGGAATCCTGTAGCAATGGGCAGAAAACAGGGGTTACACCCACACCACACCAAATCCTGCAGCAGAAGTCCATACCCAGCAAAAACTGGGGCTTCAAGATATTTTTAGGCTGTTTTTTTAGGCTGTACAGCTGGTTTAAGACCTCTGTCATTCTGCTCCTGCAGGTGAAGGAATAAAATGGACTGACAAGAACTTGGGACAAGAGCACCCCATACCTGCCTCCGGGCATCCTCCAGAGTGCTGCCCGTGTGGAGGCCATCAGAGCTCCCAGGTTTCTGAAGTGAGGATGAGAGGAGATGTAGCATGGCTTCAGACATCAGTACAGCATAAAAAAATTAGGTTTTCAACTGCCTGACAAATCTCAGCTTGCCTGTGACATCAAGCAAGAAATAGCTTTGTTCTGTTCTGTTTCTGGTAAAAATGAAAGTATGTTTGATATCCCCAAGAACTGAAATCCTCTGTGGAGTAGGAAAGCCAACTCCTTGTCACATGCCCACCTTCCTGAAACAGGATATTCACTGAGCCAGGCACAGCCTGAGCTGGACATAATCAAGCCCTGCTTGTGTTATCACTGAAACTTGTCAAATCCTCCTCTTTCTCAAGGGGCTCCCCATCCCTGGCCCTGTGAAACAGCAGTGGAGCCCAGCCCCAGTGCACATCTCCAGAGCTGGGCTGGTGCCAGAGGACAGGAATTGTGCTGACCAGTTCACTCCTGCATGTCAGGACAGCAGCCACCGTCTTCTCCCCGGTCGTTGCAAAACTCACTAGAGCTGCCTGGAAAAGGAAAAAAAAATAGCAAGAAATAATTTAAAAAAACCTTCAAGAAACCCCCAAACCTCACCAAAAAGTACTTGTGAAGTAAATAGAACCACAGTGAAATTAAAAGCAGATGAACTGTCACAGCCAAATTTTAAATTGTAAAATTTCCCCCCAGCTCAAAAGCAAGAAAGACCTACTGCTCATAAAGATGGAACAGTTGACCTGCCACAAGTTTTTGAACCATGCTGCCCTGAGTTACTGAGACTTTTAGAACCTGCCAGCTGGCCCAGCAGTGTGAAGGATGCTCAGCTGCACTTGGCCCTGTCCCTGGTACCTGCTGGAAGTCCCGGAGGTGGCTGAGCAGCCCCTGCTTGTACTGCAGCAGGGAGAAGTGGCTTGGGGACAGCTGCAGGAAGAACTGAGTCCGTGAGGCACTGGTCACACTGGGCTGAGTGGCCAAAATCCTGGCCTGGAAGTCATCTGCAAACTCCAGCTCCAGGGACTGCAGGGGAGACAAGCACATGTGCTGGGGGAGTTGTCCTTCACTGAGACCAACAGCTCCCTCCCCCCAGCAGCAGTCAGAGATTCCCTGAGTCAGAGTCAGGGGACAGAGCAGGAGCAGGGAAGGCTGAGGCTCCACTGGAGAAAAGCTCAGAAGACATTGATCCAGAAGGAAGAACAGACAAAAAGCTTTTCCACCCTTCCCTCAATTTCCAGAGCATGATCCCCCATCTCCAATCACCCCCCAGTTCACCAACAGACTGAGGAGATGACACCATAGTGGGTCTGGACTGGGTAATAAATGACATACACGCTCAAGACATTCACAGAAGACTAATTCACTTTATTAAAAAACCTATTGCTTTTTATACCCTAATTTGCTACAGGTGGACCTGATTGATCCTTTAATTAAAACACCATCCCCACTGGCTAATTAAGAAACCACCCTTTGGTAAAGAAATTTATGGGCAATACAGCTTATTACAACATCAGGTGCAGATTGTTTAGAATTCTCTCTTTCCAGCTCCCTCATGTTTCCCAGGCTGATTCTGAGAAAACTTCTCTAGCTTTCTCTCTCTCTGAGCAGGCTGTCACCAGAGGGAACCAGTTCCAACTGGAAGCAGACCGGCTGAGTAAGGAATGCCAGGAGTGCTCACCTGCAGGGGGATGTGCCTCATGTCCTGCTCGGTGTCCAGGGCGCAGACGTGCAGCGAGCGCGCGGCCGTGTCCACGCACAGCAGCACGGCCTCGCCCACCACGGCACAGGAGCCCTGCAGGGCCCCCAGCCACGGGGCTGCCACCCTCACCTGCAGAGAGACACAGCCAGCTCAGCACCCACGTGCACACAACAGCAAGTTAAGTCAGTTATTTTTAGCCACGACTGAGAAAAACTACCTGTCAGCCTGAGGGTTATGGATAATCTTGACTGACAGCTGCCAGGCTAGCTCAGTTTGGCTGTCAGGGCATTCAGCCATGAAATCCCTGGTGTGGAGGCAATGCCTCAGGGAAAGGGAGGGTTCTCTGTGGCACAATTGATTTCCCTGCCCACCACACCACAGGGCTGAAAGCACATTTGTGCACATCAAATCCAGCATTTTGGCTCCCCTACCTGTCTTGTGATTTCTCCATCCTCCACGCTGAAGGCCAGCACGTTCAGGTGGCTCTGGGGAACGATGCCAACCACGTGGATCACTCCAGTGCCACGGGAGTACAGCAGCTCGTACTGAGTGCTCTCACTGCAACACAGGCAGCAAGCATGAAGCATCACCCTCTCACACTGCAGTCTGCAGAAGCACAAGGCAGGTGCAGCCCCGTGCCAGGGGCTCACACCTCTCCTTAGAGGTGTTCTCACCTTTCTGGCAGGTGTTCCACCCACTTCTGGTGCCCGTTGGACAGGTAGTGCAGAGACAGGGCTGCCTTCTTCAGCACTGCCACGTACTTCACTGCCTCAGGGAGCCCCACCAGGGCAGCCCCCTGGAAACTGAGCACAGGCACCAGCAATTAGGGAATTCTTTTCCTATTTTACCCTGGGGAAGGGGCTGGAGCACCAGGAGAGGCTGAGGGAGCTGGAAAGGGGCTCAGCTGGAGAAAAGGAGGCTCAGGAGAGACCTTCTGACCCTGCACAACTCCTGACAGGAGGGGACAGCCGGGGGGTCGGGCTCTGCTCCAGGGAACAGGGACAGGAGGAGAGGGAACGGCCTCAGGCTGGGCCAGGGCAGGCTCAGGGTGCACACCAGCAGGAATTTCCCCATGGAAAGGGTGCTCAGGCCTTGGCAGGGGCTGCCCAGGGAGGTTTGGAGTGCCCATCCCTGGAGGTGTCCAAGGAACACCTGGATGTGGCACTCAGCTCTGGGCTGGGGACAAGGTGGGGATTGGTCACAGCTTGGACTCCATGGTCTGGGAGGGCTTTTCCAGCCTCAGTAATTCTGGGAGTGTCTGCAAGGTTCAGGCATTCATAAACAAGTCACCCAAAATTTGTTCTGGAAACTTTACATCTGACTAATCTTTCCCTACAATGCAAGCCCAGACCAAGTCCATGACCTGTTGTTTCCTTCCCACACCAGCCCTAAAAGGAGAACAAACCCTGCAGACAGGAAATCCCACCTGCCAGTGTCCAGGGAGGTCTCCCAGTTCAAGCCCCCGATGTTGGTCTCCCAGGAGCGCAGAATCCGCCCAGCGTTGGACACGGTGATGGCATCTGGAGAGCAGGGGAGGGGACAGACACAGCGCTGGCACCCAGCACGGGCCAGCAGAGGGACGGGCTCTGCATGCCCAGCCTGTGCTCCAAGGCTGGCTCCACACTCCAGGAGCCCTGCCAGCCCCAGCACGTGCCCCTGTGGGAAACAGCTACTCGCCTTTCAGAAACTTAGAAAGGTTTGGTAAACCTGATCAAAAACACAACAGAAAACTGAATGGAGAAAAGGTTACAGTGCCAGGAGCAGAGGATTTTCCCCACCATGTGCTCATCCACACAATGGAGGTTTGGCTTTTTACCCCTTTAACCCCTCCCAAAGTTCTGTCCATCCACACCTTCTTCTCTGTCCAGGGGTGGAGATCACTTCCTCAAATCCTGACTGGAGGTCAGATGTTCCATAGTGACAAGCCAACCCTCCCAAATGTCCCAACCCTGGCTGTCCCTTGACAACAACGTGAGGGGGTAAAACATAACTAAGTCTATGAAACTTCTTAACGTACACACATGACATTTGTCTGTTAATTGTGAGAGTCAATCACGGCATCACTCATCTGCCACAGCCCTTACCCTGCCCATGGATCAGCATGGCATCGATGGCTCCTTCCGGGGTGCCCTTGTCCACATGGCGCCACACTGCGAGAGACAGAGCAAGGGAGAGGGCGTTTGTCCCGCAAAGGCGTTCCTGCGTTACTAGCAGTGGTTCAACCGGGCTGCTCACAGAGCCGGCCCTCAGACAGGGCTCTGAGCTGCCGGCCGAGCCCTCCGGCCCGCCAGGCCCGCACACAGCGTTAGCCTTCCCGGAGAAGCACCGGCACCGCGGTGACCCGCAAAGCGGCCGCACTCACGGATTTCGCCGCTCCGCGAGTTCAGGGCGGCCACCACATTCTCCTCCGTAGCCACAACGAGCTTCTTCGAGCCCTGCGAGGCCTCCAAGGAGGCGAACTTGAGCTTCCCCACGTACTGCTGCCTCCTGCGAGAGGGAACGGCAGCGCCGCCGAAATGGGACCGGGGCGGCAGCGGCGCGGCGGGCGCGGGGCCTGTCCGCGGGAGCGGGGACCCAACCCGGCGGAACCCCGGCGCTCACCAGTCGAACTTGCCCACTTGGTCCTCGTAGACGGCGGCGGCCAAAGGCAGCAGGACCAGGACCGGGAGGAGAACCAGGACCGGCAGCGGCCCCGCCGCCATGACAGCGGCCCCGGCGCCCGGGGGGCCTTCCGCGTCGCGGGGCTGCCCGGGCCGCCGCCTGCGCGGGGAAAGGGCGTCAGCGCCGCGGGGAGCGCGCAGGCAGCGCGCGGGACAGCCCCGCCCGCTCCCGGCAGCCCGCGCGCGGCCCGGGGGCCTCGGAGCACGGCGGAACCATGCCCAAGTCCAAGCGGGACCGCAAAGGTGGGAGCGGGGCCCGCACCGAGTCCCGGGCACATCCCTCTCCACCCCCATTCCTGCCCCCTTCCCTACTCCTGTCCCCTATTCCGTCGCTTTCTCATTCCTCGATCCCATCCCCCATCGCCCCGTTCCCTCTCCCCACGCCGTTCACCGTCCCCTTCCCTATGCCAGTCCCTTCTCCGTTCTTTTCTCATTTCTCGACCCCATCCATCGCCCCCTTCCCTCTCCCCGTCCCCTTCCCTTGTCCTTTACCCGATCCCTGTCTCCTTGCCCATCTCCATCACCATCCCCTTCCCGGTCCCCGCAGTGTCCCTGACGCTCTCTCCGCTCCGCTCCCCGCAGTGTCCCTGACGCGAACGCCCCGCAAGGGGCTGGAAGCCAAGCAGGCGCTGATCGCCGAGGTGAGTCTGGCCCGGACCCCTCTCCCCTGTCCCCTCTCCCTGCCCTGCCGTTCCCCTGCCCCCCGTGCCCGTCCCGGTCCTGGTAACGGCTCTCCCGCAGCTGCGGCGCTGTGTGGACACCTACAAGTACATCTTCGTCTTCTCGGTGGCCAACATGAGGAACAACAAGCTGAAGGATGTGCGGAACGCCTGGAAGCACAGCAGGTGGGCAGGGGGTGCTGCGGGGTGGGGATGCCCAAGGGGTGAGCTCCAGGGCTGACATCTTCCTCCTCCTCCTCCTCCTCCTCCTCCTCCTGGGCAGGATCTTCTTCGGGAAGAACAAGGTGATGATGGTGGCGCTGGGCCGGGAGCCGAGCAGCGAGTACAAGGAGAACCTGCACAAGGTACCTGCTGAGCTTCCTCTGGGTGTCCTAAAGCTTCACCTGCTGCATTCCACATCCTGCAGAAACATCCCAGGGTCTCCCTTCTATGGGGGTGTTAACTAAATCCATCCACGTTCTGCCACGAGGGCTCTGTTGAGTGGAGCAGTGCAGGACTGAGCCCGTGCAGGTGAGTCCCTGCTGCTCCCCCATCCCATGGATGCTCCTTTCTTCCAGGTCAGCAAACACCTGAGAGGGGAGGTCGGGCTCCTCTTCACCAACCGCACCAGGGACGAGGTGGACGAGTGAGTACCAGCCTGGCACAGCCTTTTTGGTGCCACAAAACCCCCACGCTCCCTGCTGCTTCCCTTAGAGCAGGGGTGGTCTCATGGGCCTTTCCCACTTGTCTTTGTCAGCCACTCCTGTGACAGCAGAAATCATGGAAGGGTTTGGGTTGGGAGGGACCTTAAGGCTCATCTCATTCCACCCCGTTGGGCACTTCCAGGGATCCAGGGGCAGCCACAACCTCCCTAAGTAGCATAGGGAGGCCGTGCCCCAGTCCCTGTCTGAGCCCAGGGGTGTTCCTCCCCCAGCTGAAGCTCCTGTTGCCCACCTGTGTCCCAGGTGGTTCTCCAGGTTCCGGGAGCTGGACTTTGCCCGTGCTGGGAACAAGGCGCCGTACGGGGTCAGCCTGGACACGGGGCCCCTGGAGCAGTTCCCCCACTCCATGGAGCCGCAGCTGCGGCAGCTGGGGCTGCCCACGGCGCTGAAGAAAGGTACAGCAGGGCAGCTCTGGGCTTGGCTGTGCAGCTGGCATCTCTGCTGGACAATGCTAAACACAGAGCAGGATTTGGGTCTGGAGAAAACCTGAGGGACACCTTTGTCCTTGTTGGGCTGGGGCTAGAATGCCTATCCTTGTGCTGTGGTTCCCAAACTGGTGTCAGAGGCTGAGTAAAGCCCCCAGATTTCTGCAGAATGCCATCCTTTTCCAGTGGAAACAGCTCGGATTAATCCACTCAGGAAGCAGGCGTGGGGTTTTGGAGCTGATCTCACCCATCTCCTGGGGGTGCTCTCATGCTGCATGGGAAGGTGTCAGCTCCAAGGGGTGGTGTTGGAGAGTCCTGGCTCTGCCTCCACGTTCCAGGGGAGCTCCCAGTGCCTGGGATCCTATTTCCAGGGGTTTTGCTCTGCAGGAGTGGTGACGCTGCTTTCGGATTACGAAGTGTGCAAGGAAGGGGATGTTCTCACCCCAGAACAGGCCCGTGTGCTGGTGAGTAACACAGCAGCCCTGCTTCCTGACACAAAATAACTAATGATTAATTAACACCTAAAACCCAGCACCAATTATTTTGGTTCCTGCTTTGCTCCACTTCCTACCTGGAAGCGGAATTTACTGTTTTGCTAGGCTGGGCACAGAGACAGTAAAGCAGGAATGACAGATTTGTGTCCTCTCCTAGAAACTCTTTGGCTACGAGATGGCAGAATTCAAAGTCACCATGAAGTTTCTGTGGAATTCTGAGACGGGAGACTTCCAGAAGCTCGTGGGAGATGCAGCAGAGGAGGAGGAAGAGGAGGATGATGATGATAATGGCAGCAATGAGGACTAACAGCTTGGACACCAGATAGTTCTATTTTAGGGACAAAAAGAGGATATTTCCCTTCCTTGGGTGCACCTGCACTGGGATGATCTTTATAGAAAATGACCTAACTGTGCTTTTTTTATATTTATATAAATATCTATGTGAAACCAGATGGTTGTTGCTGCTGTCTGTTAGTGATGGTGGATCCTGGGACCTGAGGAAATGCCAGCTCAAACATGAAAACTGGGCAGGAAGGGTGTAAATGTAATGGAATTTTGATATAGCACAAAGGGAAAGATGCTGAGGGTTATTCTGACACAGAAGAAGATCCTTAGCTCAACCTTTGGAATTTTGCCTTATCCCTGTCAGTGTCCAAGGCCAGGCTGGATGGGGCTTGGAGCACCCTGGCATAGTGGAAGGTGTTCCTGCCCATGGCAGGGCGTGGAACACTATGAGACTCAAGGACTGTCCAACCCAAACCATCCTGAGATTCTGTGACTCGATGTCCCCAAGTGCTGCCAAAGAGACGACAGGTTCCAGGCACAGGTCAGACATGGGCTCTGCACTAGAAAGAGGTTTTATTCTTGTATGTAATTATTTAAGATTTCACATTAAAGCAGAACAGGGGCCTTCACCTCGTTAAGGTGTTCATTTTCCTGATCAGCTGCATCCTGAATCACGGGCTGTGCTGAGGGAGTGAGCGGCTTGGAGGGAGCACTAAGGCACGGGTGTGGATCCTACAAAGCTTCACTGACTCAGGAAGAACCTGCAGCCCTCCAGCCGTGCATGGGAGGGCGGGATGGGCAGTACCTCTCCCGAGACTCCAGAGCCTGTGCTGGGTATCCCAGCCTTCCTTCCCTAGCGGAAGTAGTTGGGGCAGTCGTGTGCACTCAGGTTCCAGGCCTCATCGAACGCCTGCACCACGGCCGGCAGCAGAGGACCCTCCTCGCTGTAGTTGAGGTTCTGCTCCAGCTGCTCCAAGTTGGACATGCCAATGATCACTGCATCTCCCAGAGAACCCTGGGAAGAGATGGGAGGTAGGTGTTGCTGATCCCAAAAGAAAGTTCACGTCCCAAGCCACTGCAGGCCAAACAAAGCATTTCTTTCCACTAAAGAACATCCAGGAATTAAGCAACTGACACCACAAATTCTGCTCGCTAGGCCAGCACATTCCCAAGTCACCCCAAATCCTCAGAAGCTGCCAAATCCTACTTTATGATGGGCTACAGGAACATTTAGGGAACACCAGGAGTATTAAGCATTAGTTTCCTAGTCCAGTGAAAGGCAAGTCCTCTCCTTGCAGGAAAGCTGAGTGCGTGGGAAGCCAAGACCCCAATAACTGGCACCTAAAATCTTCCACTTGAAGCTTCCAGTTCTGACCACATGGGAAAAGGCAGAGCTGCCTCACTCCCACCGCCTGGCAGTCTGTACAGCAATATTCACTTTGGAATGCCACAATCCCACAGGATTAAAAGACACCTACACTGAAATTTCCCCGTTTGTGAGTCATGGCAGCAGTGCCCAGTGCTGGCAGCAGTGCCCAGGTCAAGCTCTCACCTGCAGTTTGGAGTGGTTGTAGAGCCAGCGCAGTGCAGCAGATGCCAGGCTGGGTGCAGTGGAGCCATAAGCCTCTTTCAGAGCTTTTTCTACCAGTGCAATTCCGTCAAAATTGTGTTTTTTCCAGTACCTGCCAAAAAAAAAATTGTTATTGCCCTTGGGACCTCTAGTCAGTGGTACATCTATATTCCAATCAAAAGGCTTTCAGGAAGGCTCATACAACTCTTTGTAGCCTTGGAGGACTTCTGCAGTCTCCCTTGGGAGCTGTGAGGAAGCGGAGCCTGAAAACCACCCTGCAGAGCTCAGTGACACACCACAGCCCCAACCACGTGTGCTGACATAATCCCAAGCTTTGGTCAATTCTGCTTCCTCTAAATTGACTATTAGAGTGTTTTTTTCATGCAGCCATTCCTGCTTGTCTGTCAGCTGAGGACATACCTGTCCCTGTAGGCCTGAGCCCAGTCATTCCCAAAAAATCTCCCAGTGGGCTGGCGCGTGTCTTTGTCCTCGTACTTGTACTTGCCAGTCAGCAGCCCCCCTGGGAGGGAAGGGAGCAGCAGGTTTGGGGATGGACTGGCTCTGCAGAGCCCCCATTCCTCAGAGTTTTGTCCCAAAGCCTTGTCCCTGTACCTGCCAGCGGGTTGTAGGCGTAGAAGCGCAGCCCAAAGTGCCTGAGGCAGGGGAACAGCTCGGCCTCCACCTGGCGCGTGGTCGCGTTGTACATTCCCTGCACCGGGTGGGAGACAGCCTCAAACAGAGCTCAGGGCACAGCAGCTGCCTCTTCCCACCCTTCCATGGCAATACCCATCCCAGAAAGCGGCTTCGGGTCACACAAGGGGATGATTTGCTTAGGAGCAGACCCACTGAAGGACTGCAAATAATTGAAGTTCCATGGTAGGGGAGTCTCTGGCTCCAGCAATGAACACTGAGCTGTTTCTGAGCATCAACCTCGCTCAGCTTCCTGAATTTCCTCACTGAAAGGATGGTCAGGCCTTGGAAGGGGCTGCCCAGGGAGGTGTTGGGAGTCCCCATCCCTGGACATGTCAAAAGAAGGCCTGGACATGGCACTCAGTGCTCTGGGGTAGTGACAAGGTGGGCACTGGGCACAGCTGGGACTGGAGGTCTTTTCCAACCTCAATGAGTCTGTGACTTCCCAGACTAACTGCAGCAGATTCCTTCTGTGTTTATATCTGGAACACTGGGGCTGGTGCTAGATTTGGGGAGCCCAAATCCAAGCTTCCCTCCTCCCTCACCTGGTACACAGTTGGCATCACCCAGTTGTTGTACTTGCAGATGGCACAGATTTCTGCCACCTCCCACGCGGCGTAGTTTGACAGGCCAAGCTCTTTAAACTTCCCCTGCAGAGGAATAAAAGGGAATTCACTTCCAGTGTTTCAAAGTTCATCTGGACCCAGATAGCACAAGATGGGTATAGTGAAAAGGACAATCACCAAATTTTAGTCCAGAAGGGTTAATTCCTGTCCACCTTTTCTGACAGATTATGAATTATTAAGACATGACAAAAATATTCCCCATTTTCTGTTCATTTGGAATTCACACCTTCTAGTTTAAATGACATAACCAGACAAATGAAACTCAGGAATTCTTTACCCATTACCAGCACTAATCTTAACCCAGACTGTTAACAGGGCTGGAAGCAAAGTCCAGATGTTCCAAGAGCTCTTGGGAACAAAGTGCACCACATGAGCACACAAAGAGCAGCGGCTGCTCACTCAGCTCTGCCCTGGGCTCTGTCTCCTCTTCGCAGAGCTGCACAAACCCAGCACTGCAAATGGGCACAACAAGCAGCCCTGGTTTAAAAAAAAGCAGCGGGAAGGAGGGAATCACAGATTGTCTAAGCTTAGACTCTGCACTTCACCTCTTTGTGCAGCTCGTTGCAGGCACGCAGGGTTTCCTCCACCGGGGTGCCATGGTCAGGAGCGTGGAGGTAGAAGAGCTCCACACTCGTCCGCTGCAGCCTCTCCAGGGACGTGTCCAGCTGCGAGCGCACGCTCTCCGGCTTCAGCGTCTTCCCATCCCACGGGTTGGCCTTGGTGGCCACTTCCACTGGCAGAGAGAGAAGGAATGAGCAAGGATCTTTCCACCTTGAGGAGGGGAGTAGGGATAAGTGAACAAGTGTTTGAGGTGTTTCAGGGAAGGTGCCTTTCCTCAGGAATCCTGTCAGCCTGGCAGGGGAGGCTCTTCTCTGCACTGAGGGTCTGCCCCAGGCAGGGAAGGTCTGCTTCTCAAGGTCTGGGGGTCAGCACTAGTACAGGGATCCCTTCCCCTCAGGATATGGCATCAGCAGGGAAAACTCTTATCCTAAGGGGATGGGCCTGGGGGAAGTCTGCTTTCCTCGAGGAGGCAGTCAGCCAGGCAGGAAAGATCCCTCTCCTCAGGGAATGGACCCTGGGAAGCGCCCTTGCCCCTGGGAATGGCCTCAGATTGGCAAGGAAGACCCTTCTCCTTCCCCAGAGAAGTGCCATCTCCTCAGGGAGGGCATTAGCCCAACAGGGAAGACCCTGCTCCTCAGGGAACGAGTCTTGGGCAAGTCTAACCTCCTCAAGGACAGTGTCAGCCTGGCAGAAGAGATGAGACCCTCTCCTCAGGGACGACCCTCCTCAAGGAAGAGCCCTCTCCTCAGGGCACGGTTCCCAGCAAGTCCCCTCTCCTCAGGGAAATCCCTTCTCCTCACAGAAGGAGTCCTGGCCAAGTCCCTTCTCCTCAAGGACAGTGTCAGCCTGGCAAAGCAGACCCTTGTCCTCAGGGCAGCCCCCTCTCCTCAGACACGGGCCCCGAGGCAGCCCCTCTCCCCCGAGGGCAGCCCGCCCTCCGCCGCCCTACCGGGCTCGGTGCCGCCGGCCAGCAGCGCGCCCAGGATGCGCTCGGACTCGCCGCCCGCGTACATGAAGGCGGTGTCGATGAGGCGGTGTCGGCGGCGCAGGAAGGCGCGGAGCAGCTCGGCGCTGGCCTCGGAGCCGGCTCGCCGGCCCATCTCCATGGCGCCCAGCACCACCGCGGGCCGGGCCCCGCCACCCGCCGCCGCCGCCGCCGCCATC